TTATACCTTTCTTCGTTGGTCTTTTAGAAAAAGCAATATTCCCCAGGACGGGCTCTATTGCACTTTATACAAGTTTGATAGAAAACAATAATAGAGAACATTATAATTTTCTTCCCAAGCGGGTTTAAAACCTCCCTTCCGTTCAGGCTTGGAATTTGAGTTTTTCTAAAGTTTTAATATAAAACTTTTTTTTTTCTTTTGTCAACTTTTTGTCAACTTTTTTGTCAACTTGATTGTTGATTTAATTTATACAATAAAAACTCTTCCAAAAATGAAGTTTATTACTGCTATAACAACCCTTATTACCCTTTTCTCCATAGTCTCTGCACATACTTCTATGCTTTACCCTCCGGTTCGTGGTCATCCTAAAAACCCAAATGCTGCCGTCAAAGACTTTGATTGCATTATTGCTCCATTAAATGGTGACGGAGGTTGTAAACGTAAACCTTTTCCATGTGGTGGTTACCCTGTTGACACCAAAATTGTTACTACCTTTAAAGCCGGTCAAGTAATCGATGTTAAATTCTTTAATCCTAATTTTCCTGATATAAAAACCGCTGACCCAAGCAGAGATCAAGCTCGTCATAATGGTGGACTATGCGAATTTGCTTTAAGTTATGATGGTGGAAAAACCTACACAGTTATCGCAACTTATCACAAAACTTGTCCTGATATCTTTTTTGAGAATTGGAAAGTTAAAATTCCCGAAAATGCTCCATCATGTGATAACCCTGGAAAATGTATATTCTCATGGAGTTGGATTAATGCAGTTGGTAATCGAGAATTCTACCAAAATTGTGCCGATATTAAATTAATTGGTAATTCTACTGAAGCCCTACCAATTATTGATATCACAAGAGCCAATTTATCCCCAGACTTCACTGACATTGTTACTCCGGAAGGTGACCCGCTAAATTCAGGAAATGCTAAAGGCTCCGGCCCATTAGCTGAAGATGTTAAAGCTAATTTGGAATTGAAAATTGGTCCAGATTCCAAAAAAACTAAACCAAATGATGGTTCTAAAACCAAACCAAATGATGGTTCTAAAACTAAACCAAATGATGGTTCTAAAACTAAACCAAATGATGGTTCTAAATCAAAACCTAACCCTTCACCTGTTGCCTCACAAAAACCAAAACCCAAATCGAATCCCAAGTCAAATCCCAAGTCAAACCCTAAGTCAAACCCTAAGTCAAAACCAAAATCTTCACCTGTTACCACTCCCAAATCAAATCCTTCACCTGCCGACACTAAACCGGTACCTAATCAAGGATCAAATAAACCATCAGAATCAAATGCAACTTGTCCTGATTCTGATAATGGTAAAATGACTTGCGTAAACGCTGGTGCTTCTAGTGACTTTGCTACATGCGTTAATGGCAAACAAGTAATTCGACAATGTCCCGGGGTTTTGGTTTGCCAACAATCAAATCCCTCAACCATCGCTTGTAATTTCCCTAATAGGAGATAAATATCTCAACATCTTCTAAATTTATTTCCAAAGGAAGAATTCTTATATAGAATGTGTTTGACATTAATATTTTCTATCAAACTTTGTAATATTTATTCCTTTTAAGGATCCACCAAATATTTGGTGCATTTTTCTAAGGATCACGAGGATTGTGTATTT